ATAACGCGTAATATAACGCTGTATAACGCTTAATATAACGTTGCTATAACGCGTAATATAACGCTCCATAACGCGTAATATAACGCTGCATAACGCGTAATATCGGCTATAACGCCCGCACGCTGACAACTTCGAACTCGCACGCACAGTTCACTCGCGCGCGCGCAGTGATCATAACGCTTCGTGTCGTCACGTCATAACGCGTCTCCAACTCCCTCGTCACGCCCTAAGTGTTTCGAACTTGAATAATATCCGGCGCTATACGCATTTACGCTATACGTATTTGCGTACGTCGATGCGGGAGAGGGAAGTTGGGAAAAGGATGACCATTGTAGCCCGAGATGGAGTACGCTAATCACACACACGCGGGTGTCATCGCATCGCATTGAATATGTTTACTCGGCAAGGGTACCCTCGTTGGAAATCGTTAGTTTTCGCTGTGCGGCCGCGCGTGGCTACAGCTGCCTGCTGAGTTACGCGCTGGAAACCGCCGAGATACTTACTACACGCGCCGAACACGTGCTTCATCTTATCCTACACTCTGTCGCTACTCCTCCGCCGTCTCTCTTCGTGGCCGCCTTTCGTGCGGAATGATTACATTGCTGGCCAGGCGTCGGCATGAGCGGCTGACAGCAGCCGATACGAATTGCGAGCACGGTGAAAATCTCTGCTTTTATTAACACACTTTATGAAAGGTCGTCCGGTATTGTCAACAGTATAGTGCGACTGATGACGCAGGTGATGTACTGCACGCGGTACGGCACAGCTAATGCGTCGTCCGTTCTCATTTCGCTGTTCAGAAATCGAACTACTCGCGTAACATGCGCACGCATTTCCGCGCAGCTCGGCGACTCACCGCAACGAGGTTCGACGGTGCTGCCACCACCGCCGCCGCTGCTGCTAGCGCTATATTACTGCACTAATGCAGTTTTGCTGAGAGCGCAAGATGGAAAATATTTTCTGCGTAAAATCGCGTTTCGTCTGGGGATGTAGAGACGCTGCTAGTGAAGGATTCGGGCACGTTGATTAAGACAATCATTATGCTTGCCATACACGTATAGGCCCGCTTCCACCCGACTACGTTCCAGAGCGCCTAACAAAGCGTCGAGATTTATGTATCCATTGGGAGTATTACTGGATTGATTAATGTCAGGCATGCGATGTCGCCGACAGTTTGCCGTGTTTAAAATCCAACAGTGCAACCGAGTGACGGCTAACGTTGATACTTCCCAGAAAACTAAGCAAATAACCGAGATTTTGGAAAATAGATGTACACGATATTTAATGAAATAGTAATTTACAATGAAACAACGGGATAAATTAACGGTGATGGTTTTGAATTTCGCTTGACCTTAATCACGCGCAACTGCCCAGCCCACACGAATCTATAGATATCACCCAACCAGCGCTTCCCGCTGCACGCCTCGCTCTCTCTCTCTCTTACCCATTCAACGCGCCTCGCACCATTCCACCTCTCTATGAACTACACTTCATTCCGTCACTTTATGCAACCTACGTACACTTCTATAATTACTCAGTGCACCCAGAAACGTCACCAGTCTCGTAAAATCGGCGAACCCCTTTTACATACCTTGATTATCTCCTCGCAACCTGCTTTATTCCATCTCGCGTTGATGTAATTAGACGAGCTTACAATTGTCAGTGCGCATACACGTGGCTGCTCATTGGCCTTTAGCCCGACTCGTTTGCAAGCTAATGTGTTTGTCTGCGCTCCAGGGCTATGGTTCGCACGCGCATATAGCGCTTCATTTGCATGCACCGACGTGATTGAACTCGAAGTGTAAGCAGAGAAAATCTCCCGATAGCCATCGAGGACGCAGAGGGCACCGTCCGGGAAAGGACATGACGCGAGGCGAAGTCAAGAGCTGCGTGACAACAATCTCCGACGCTGCAGGCTGATGCGTGATGGGCGCCGATATCCGATATTGGCCGGAACCGAGCGTAAACCCCGGGGAAAGGTTTCCACGTCAGAACAGGACACAGCTACCTAAGTGCAGTGCGCTCGTGATACAGGAGCGTCACACGTACGAATATATATATATATATATATATATATCAGGGAGAGAGAAAGAGAGAAAAAGAGAAAGTGAGAACGAGGAAGTGAGAGAAAGAGAGAGCGAAAGAGATAGATCGATAGAGGGAAGGGAGAGAGAGAGAGAGAGAGAGAGAGCGTGAAAGAAGGAGAGAGGAAAAGACAGCGCGAGAGACAAAGCGTAACGTAGAAGAACAAGTTTAGAGCGCGGAATGACGGACAACGCGGAGCGGCGCCGAGCCGTGATACGAAACGCCATGCAAGCTTCCGCGAAGAATTACCTCGTGAAGCGTGAGTGCAGCGGCCACTTGATGGCGAGAAATCTGTCGACCCCGATCGCTAGCAGCGTGTAGATGCTCGAGCTCACCGACACCGTCTGCAGGAAGAGCACGATCGGACAGAACGCCGACGGGTATATCCACGCGTGCAGCATCATCTTGCTGAACGTGAACGGCATGCAGAAGGCAGCCATGACGATGTCCGACAGCGCCAGGTTAATGAGGAAGATCGCCAGCGTGCTGCGGCACAGCTTGCCGCAGCTGAACACGATGATGACGGACACGTTGCCGAATACGGACGCGATGACCGTTAGTGAGTAGAGCAGCGTCAGGCAGGCCTGCGCGCCTCTGCTCATCCACGCAAACGTGTCGTTGAACGTGAGGTTGGCGAATTCGTTGTAGTTGAAGCTTCCGTTGTTCCAAGTTTCCAATCCAACCGGTTCCATGGTGGCGGGCGTGGTGGTGGTGGTGGTGGTAGTGGTGGTGGTATCTCTAAAACTCGACGTTTCGAGAAAACTCCGAAAAGTTACCGACCAATGATGTCGTGTTCATGGGCGTTCGCCACGTCGGAATCACACTGACACTTCTAGGCAGCTATTACTTTAGTAAATCTATTGGAAGTTTATGTTCACAAGCTGATAATCTCGCATGTTCATTTCGCTCACTCAACCGACCGTCAATCCACTAACAGTTGATCACCGCAGTTATGTGCACTTTTCAGCAACGCATGCTCAAATGTCTCAAATCTATTCACCTGTCAACAAAGCATATGATAAAACATGTTAGCCGGTAACCAAGCAAGATGAACAACCTGTCAATTCCAGCCTGTTCTGCTAGCATCTATGACAAATACGACATACGCATATACGCTCTCCTATGACACTATTTGTCATAGGAAGATTCTTCCTATGACAAATACGACATACGCATATACGCTCTCCTATGACACTATTTGTCATAGGAAGATTCTTCCATGACAATAATTGTTTTATGTGTTGTGCGCATCATAGGAGTTTAGGAGCGCTATTATGAACGCAAGCAGTGAATTTGAGCAGCTGCTGTAAAGCGGAACGAAGTTGACTCGCCAATATTTTTCATAGAAAGAATCTTCCTATGACAAATAATGTCATAGGAGAGCGTATATGCGTATGTCGTATTTGTCATAGATGCAATGAGAACATGTTGTCAATTCGCATGCCAACAAATAGCATGCTCGCTTTGTAACGCAGGCATATTTTCATCACTGACAGCGGGATCAAGTTCGCACTAAATATTCGACTCCCGTGTGCATTTAACACTTTACAACGCACATGTTTGATAACTTTTTAGCAATCATGTATGAGCAGTAATATAATAATAATAATAATAATAATAATAGTAATTATAAAATAATGTTAAGCAGTCAATAATACATTACAACTAATCGCCAAAATGTCTTGCTTCCACAAACCTAGCAGAGGCCGTAGGCTGAGTAAATTGCTAGGTGGGGGGGAGGAACAAAATTTCTTGACTTAACTGTGTAATAATGAGAGACGGGCACAGGTCTTGATCGAGTGTGGTGGGGGTGGGTCTGAGACAAAGCTTTCACGGATAAGTGGCTAAAAAAACACGTTAGGGTTATTTACGATTATTTGCTAAGCTGCTTTTTTTAAATTTTCTCCAAAATCTAGAGAGAGCTGTCCCCTGCCCCCCAGGCTACGGCCCTGGAGGCTTAACATTTATTTCCCATGTCACTAATGTATATAAAGTTAACAACCACCGAAGTATAAATTCCACAAAATCGCTGAATTACTCATTTGATCGAGGGTCTATGTACTAATTATACTGTTCTCTGTTTCGGGTTAGCAAACGTTTTCGTTCAAACCTTTGCACTCTGTAAACACTTCGCTGCCATTACAACGAGGCTTGATTGAACCTTCAATCATGCCAGTAGAAACCCGAGGAGATTTTCACGCCGCCACGTAGCAGTGATTTTTCACGGCCATTTACGAGAGAGAGAGACTTTGCGCGCTGAAACCCTCGAACGCCAGCGGAATTTTCGCCGCTATTTCCGCGGACGACGTTTTTAAACTGGCCCGCTGCTATATCGCTAAATATAACGCCGGATAACGCGTAATATAACGCTGCATAACGCGTAATATAACGCTGTATAACGCGTAATATAACGCTATAGAACGCGTAATATAACGCTGTATAACGCGTAATATAACGCCGAATAACGCGTAATATAACGCAGCTATATCGCGTAATATAACGCAGTATAACGCGTAATATAACGCTGTATAACGCGTAATATAACGCAGCTATATCGCGTAATATAACGCTGTGTAACGCGTAAGATAACGCTGTATAACGCGTAATATAACGTTGTATAACGCGTAATATAACGCTGTATAACGCGTAATATAACGCTGTATAACGCGTAATATAACGCCGGATAACGCGTAATATAACGCTGTGGATGTAACGCGTAATATAACGCTGTATATCGCGTAATATAACGTTATAGAACGCGTAATATAACGCAGTATAACGCGTAATATAATGCAGTATAACGCGTAATATAATGCGGTATAACACGTATTATAACGCTGTATACAGCGCGTAAATAACGCGTTATAACGCGTATATAGAACGCTGTATAACGCGTAAGATAACGTTGTGTAACGCGTAATATAACGCTGTGCATGTAACGCGTAATATAACGCCAGGGTAACGCGCGTAATATAACGCTGTGGATGTAACGCGTAATGTAACGCTGTATAACGCGTAATATAACGCTGCTATATCGCGTCATATAACGCTGTATAACGCGTAATATAACGCGGTATAACGCGTAATATAACGCTGTATAACGTGTATTATAACGCTGTGGATGTAACGCGTAATATAACGCTGTATAACGCGTAATATAACGATGTATAACGCGTAATATAATGTTGCTATATCGCGTAATATAACGCTGCGTAATATAACGCTATATAACGCGTAATATAACGCTGTGGAACGCGTAATATAACGCTGTATAACGCGTAAGATAACGTTGTGTAACGCGTAATATAACGCTGTGCATGTAACGCGTAATATAACGCTGTGCATGTAACCCGTAATATAACGCTGTATAACGCGTAATATAACGCTGTATAACGCGTAATATAACGCTGTATAACGCGTAATATAACGCTGTATAACGCGGAAGATAACGTTGTGAACGCGTAATATAAACGCTGTGCATGTAACGCGTAATATAACGCTGTGCATGTAACGCGGTAATATAACGCTGTATAACGGTAATATAACGCTGTATAACGCGTAATATAACGCTGTATACGCGTAATATAACGCTGTATAACGCGTAATATAACGCTGTATAACGCGTAATATAACGCTGTATAACGCGTAATATAACGCTGTATAACGCGTAATATAACGCTGTATAACGCGTAATATAACGCTGTATAACGCGTAAGATAACGTTGTGTAACGCGTAATATAACGCTGTGCATGTAACGCGTAATATAACGCTGTGCATGTAACGCGTATTATAACGCTGTATAACGCGTAATATAACGCTGTATAACGCGTAATATAACGCTGTATAACGCGTAATATAACGCTGTATAACGAGTAAGATAACGTTGTGTAACGCGTAATATAACGCTGTGCATGTAACGCGTAATATAACGCCAGGTAACGCGTAATATAACGCTGTGGATGTAACGCGTAATGTAACGCTGTATAACGCGTAATATAACGCTGTATAACGCGTAATATAACGTTGTGCATGTAACGTGTAACATAACGCTGTATAACGCGTAATATATCGCTGTATAACGCGTAATATAATGAGTATAACGCGTAATATAATGCGGTATTACGCGTAATGTAACGCTGTATAACGCATAATATAACGCTGTATAACGCGTAATATAACGCTGTATAACGCATAATATAACGTTGTATAACGCGTAATATAACGCTGTATAACGCGTAATATAACGCGGCTATATCGCATAATATAACGCTGTATAACGCGTAATATAACGCCGTACAACGCGTAATATAACGCTGTATAACGCGTAATATAACGCTGAATATCGCGTAATATAACGCTGTATAACGCGTAATATAACGCTGTATAACGCGTAATATAACGCTGTATAATGCGTAATATAACGCTGTATAACGCGTAATATAACGCTGTGAAACGAGTAATATAACGCTGTATAACGCGTAATATAACGTTGTGCATGTAACGTGTAACATAACGCTGTATAACGCGTAATATATCGCTGTATAACGCCATAATATAACGCCGGATAGCTCGTAATATAATGCTGCTATATCGCGTAATATAACGCTGTATAAACGGGTATTAAAACGCTGTGCATGTAACGCGTAATATAACGCTGTATAACGCGTAATATAACGCTGTATAACGCGTATTATAACTCCGGATAACGCGTAATATAACGCTGTATAACGCGTAATATAACGCTGTATAAAGCGTATTATAACGCTGTGCATGTAACGCGTAATATAACGCTGTATAACGCGTATTATAACTCCGGATAACGCGTAATATAACGCTGTATAACGCGTAATATAACGCTGTATAACGCATAATATATCGTTGTGCATGTAACGCGTAATATAATGCGGTATTACGCGTAATGTAACGCTGTATAAAGCGTAATATAACGCTGTATAACGCGTAAATAAACGCTGTATAACGCGTAAGATAACGTTTGTGTAACGCGTAATATAACGCTGTGCATGTAACGCGTAATATAACGCCAGGTAACGCGTAATATAACGCTGTGGATGTAACGCGTAATGTAACGCTGTATAACGCATAATATAACGCTGTATAACGCATAATATAACGTTGTGCATGTAACGCGTAATATAACGCTGTATATCGCGTAATATACCGCTGTAGAACGCGTAATATAATGCAGTATAACGCGTAATATAATGCGGTATAACGCGTAATGTAACGCTGTATAACGCATAATATAACGCTGTATAACGCGTAAATATAACGCTGTATAACGCGTAGATATAACGTTTATAACGCGTAATATAACGCTGTATAACGCGTAATATAACGCGGCTATATCGCATAATATAACGCTGTATAACGCGTAATATAACGCCGTACAACGCGTAATATAACGCTGTATAACGCGTAATATAACGCCTGAATATCGCGTAATATAACGCTGTATAACCGCGTAATAAACGCTGTATAACGCGTAATATAACGCTGTATAATGCGTAATATAACGCCTGTATAACGGTAACTATAACGCTTGTGAAACGAGTATATAACGCTGTATAACGCGTAATATAACGTTGTGCATGTAACGTGTAACATAACGCTGTATAACGCGTAATATATCGCTGTATAACGCATAAATATAACGCCGGATAGCTCGTAATA